TTCATAAGTCTGGTGACAGACATAATGCCCGCAGCTTCCGACCTATTTTGTTGGACCTATGTTGATTTTAATTGTAAAATATGTTGTTTTGGGGTTAATTTGCCCTTGGGCTAGCCGAATGCTGCACTTTGTTTTGATTATTGTGGAATTTTCATCAATTTTTGTGGTTTCTGCATTTTTTGCTGTAATACATATTACTTTTCTGATGCAGCTATACTCGGTGCAGCTGTGTATGTTTTGTGTCTTGCAAATGTACTTCTTTTATTTTTCTTTTTTTTTACACAAACTTATGTAAACTTATGTAAACCTGCAAATTTTCATGTTCTTTCCTTGTATCCCCACCCTCATTATAATGCCTGTATGGGCGCTGCGGGTATTAAATAAATAATATTAATAAATAACCGATAGCGTCTACAATATATGGGTTGCGAATGACAAGTATGGGGCCCTTACACTATCGAAAAGCACAGTGGGTGGCTCCTGGCAAAATATAAATAATGAGTACCGCATGCGGCGTTCAGGCTAACATGCACAAGCAAAAGCATCAGCATGAGCAACGCTGTCATTGTTGAGCCGGTGCCACGCCCCAGAGACACATTAAAATGCCGGTGTATTTGCAGGCTGTAGCTTTGCACAGCGATGTTCCAGGGCTCGTTGGCTGGTATCGGGCATTGTCCAGAAGAAGCGCTTATGATCTGTGCGTCACTTATGTCGTTGCCTCCTTCGATTCCTTTCCAAGAAGTATAGGTGATGGAAGAATCGTCAGCTGAAGAGGCAGCTTTTCAAGATTCATCCTGCCAATTTGCAAAGCAAGGGCAGGAAACTGAAGTGACGAGAACCTGCACAAGCAAAAGCATCCGCGTAAGCGACACAGTCATAGTCGAGCTGGTGCGATGTTCTGATGTATTTGTAGGCTTACTAACCCTCTTTCCTGGTCTGATTACATTGACTATGTAATATCTAAGTCTAATCGCACGCTATTAAACATAACTTTTTGTAGCCCCATCATCTTTAAAGAAACATATATTTATTAGGCATATTCGTCCTGTGTTAGGGCACGCCTCATTCATACAGGACCCTGGGCAAATAACGTTAACAAACAAGCTAGAGGCTGTTCAGAATCGCTCACCATGTTACATCTTATCAAATTATCATCGAGCATCTAATGTATCTGCCATGAAAGCTTCCCTTAAACTTGCATCAATTGCCATGTGCAAAAAGCTTGCATGCCTATATATATTATCAATATATAAAATATATTATCACAACAACATTTCATTAATTCATTTATTCCGAAGTCACGTTTTATACAGCCTGAACCTTTCTTATCATCTCGTTTTGAAAAGTATGCATTCCTCGTAGCAACATGTTGACGCACTCCGATTCATTTCTTCGAAAAATATGCTGTGACTGGAATCACCTGTCCACATCCCTCGTCAACATTACTAAGTGTGACACATTTCGCAATGTATTAGATACGTCACTTTGACTTCACTACATGCTTACATGAGGCCGCAACCTCTTTATTTCGTTTTGTTTCTGCTTTCTTATGTATATACTGCGCTTTTTTAAGAACTTGTTATATTTTTCTGCTTTCCTGATTTTCTCTAATGATTGTATTTCAGATGTCTCAGTTGGAATGTTATCTTCAATTTTGTTGTTGTTGGGGGGGGGGTTGCTTCTCCCCTCTATAATGCTGTAAAGCCTTGCGAGTACAATAAATTTTTAAAAATAATAATATATAAAAAGAACACCTTCTTGCGATGAGTCCGTTGATGAGATCTGGTGATAGGTGAGGGAGGCTAAAATCACACCTGCTTGCCTATCGCAATAGGATCACAGAGGAGAGAAGATGCGTGATTAGAAATGTGGGACAGCAGAATAGGTGAAAACCCATGCAGTGGCAGCGGGCAAGCTTCAATCTATTTATTTATTTATTTATTTATTTATTTAAAGATACCTTACAGGCCCTTGTTGCAGGGCATTGTGTAAGGGGGGTTACAAAGGGTGAGTGTCGCGACAAAACCGTAAGGAAACATCAAACTTTGAAAGAACTCAACAAAAAATGACGCGTTATATGTCACTAAAGAGAGAATGTACAAAAAGTCATTTGAAGTTACACATCGGAACATTGCTGGTGGGAGGAGAACAAATATCCGCAATACACTTACTAAAAAACACCTAGCACACACGTAGCCAAAAATATTTTAGAGCAGCGTGCAGAAAGCAATTTGTTCTTGTTTAAGAAATACAGGATAATAAAGGGCGATAAGAGAGTTTTCCTCGTGTGTATAAGAACATTATAAAGTAGGAAAATCCAGGCGGTCACAAAGTGTGAAAAAAAAAAAAAAGCGCGTGCTCTTTACTGAACGAACACAAGGCCCTAAGCTGTAAGCGGGAGGAAATGGAAAAAAAACGAATGAATATAATTACACTGGAACGATACAGGAGGTGCAACAAATACTTGTAAAAAGGAACCAATCGAAGTGTCTATGACTGAAAGAAAGAGTGAAGAAGTTGTCTGAATTTTTCGGGGTCTGATTGATATGCAATGTCATTCGAGAGATCATTCCACAAGCGGATCACGCGAGGAAGAGCCGATGAGTTAAAGGCGTCCGTTGACCCATATAATCGCGTGAAACTTAAGTTATTATGCAGCCTACGAGATGTAACGCAAGGTTTATCGAGTTGAAATGGGAATGGTTTGTTACTGTAAACATACTTATGGAAGAGGCATAGGAGAGAAATATCCCGCCGAGTACTCAACAGTTGAAGAGAAAGGCAAAGTTTAATTTCCGTTATGCTGCTATGGTAGTCAAAATTTTGTGAGATAAATCGGGCTGCCCTATTTTGAATAGCTTCAAACATGTTGATTAAGTAATTTTGGTATGGGGACCAGATCGATGCGGCGAATTCAAGTTGTGGGCGAACGAAGGTCTGATAAGCTAGCTGCCGAACATGGGATGGACAGCTATGCAAGTTGCGGCGTAAGTAACCCAATGATTTTGAAGCTTTCGCACAAATGGTGGTGATATGGTGTGACCAAGAAAGATTTGGTGTGAAATGAATACCGAGGTACTTGTAGGATGATGCGTGCGACAGAGGGTAGTCATCAATTATGTACGAATGGCTAGAAATATGTTGCTTGCGTGTAAAACACATAATTTTGCACTTCTGCTTGTTTAGCGACATAAGCCATTTTTTGCACCAGTCATTAATCTTGTTGAGGTCATTTTGCAGTGTTAGGTGATCATCGGTACAGGTTATTGAGCGATATATAATGCAATCATCGGCGAAAATTCGCATGCGAGATGAGGTGCTGATTGGCAAATCGTTAATATAAATTAAGAACAGCAGGGGGCCAACAAGTTACTACATTGAGGTACTCATCAATTACCTCAAATTGAACATATTGAAGTAAATGTTCCTATTATGATTCATATGTTTTTCTTCATCACTCGTGGTTCAGCACCCAAACAGGGTGGGGAAAAGTGCTCCCACCCTTGTAGTAAAGGTTGTGTCGCAACACAATGCTCACACAGCAGGAATTAGGTCTACACAGGATTCATGTGGGCATTGCTTCTGAGTTGAGAGATCTGGAACATAGATGGCAGTTGACACTGTAGTCTCTCAAACCATGTGACGCCATTTGGCCAATAGCAACGTGGTATCAGCCACCGACAACAGAAAAGAGACGCACTTTTTTTCTTATCATATTGCTCATTTACGACTTTCTGGGGCTTTAGTAAAACAAAGATTTTTTTATCAACTTTCCATAGCTTGTGTGGTTGATAGATGTATGGAATAATTTAGTAGTTTTCTCCATTGCAAGCATTGGGATAAACTTTACATTTTGTCACAATGCTTGCAATGAAAAAAAAAAAAACTAATAAATCTGATGATGATCTAAACTACTAAGCTCTGATGCTGACCTTTTTGCTTGCATTGGTTTCAGCTCTCGCTTGTGGCAACCTTTGTGTCTACATCTCTATTACGAGCCACTTACCCTATTTTATTGGCGTTACTTACATTTTACTGGTGTTATTACTAAACACATGTCACATTCTTGTATTTGTGTCAATAAAAAATATGAAATCTAAAATTTGAAATCTGCATAATGAGAATGGGCCTCTCAGCTCAGTTTCTAATTTGTTACAGTCTTGTAGCATTTCAGATGTCAATGGATGCTTGGCTGGAACTTCCAGTGAATAATGGTTGCACACTTTCTACTACTTAAAAATGTTGCTTGATTCTACATAGTGCCTGGTAGCTACTGCAATATACTGCAGTGTTGCAGGTTCAAATAACAGGTGAGTCGTTTGCATTTGATGGGGATTCACAAAAAAATGTTTGTGGTGCCCCTGAACCACCCAGAGGTCAAAATTTAGTTGTGGTGTGGCAGTTGTGCCTAAGTCTGTAATGAAGACGTAATCATAAGAATTTTTCAAAACGGTGCCATAATAGCAGAGTTAGATTTGTTTCACTTTCTCATTCGCTCATTTGCTTGTCTCTCCTTAAGTGTGGGATGGGGCTAGTTTGTGTTCTATTATTAAACTGTGTTCCATTATTAAAAATTTTAGACAACAAAACCTTTGCTTTTTCTTTTCACCATGCGAGAAGGAAGAGCAGTAAACAAGCGCACCTGTGAGCAGACATTGTAAGTTACGACCAGATGTGTGGATGTCATGCCGAATGTAAGGATTGCCAAAAGGGGTGGAAAGGAGGTGAGATTGTTTTTTTGGAATTTAAGGGGTGCCTGCATCTCCTAGTGCTGCTGCATTTGGCATTGTGGATCATGATAGCATTCTCAACTTGATGTGCACGTTTTCTTCAATTGGTAAATAATAATTGGAGATGGGCCCTTCAAGTGTGCATAGCAGACCTGGGATGACTTACAAACATGTGTAATATGTTTTTAATCCTCAAGAGTGTTGCGAGCAGTAGAACCCTTCTTGTTGAAATTCATACACTTGAGCCTACCAGCACGGTTCCCTCCCTAGGTTTGCCACCTCCAGGCAGACGCTGACATGGGTGCCGGACTCCTTCTTCACGAGGTGAGTTCATTTTATGCCACAAAGAGGTGCTATGCACTTGCATTATATTTGTTTAAGGTGGGACTAGAGAATGCTTAGGTTTATCATGAAATCATCATATCTAGTGGTCAATCTCATCACCAGTTAATGAAGCATAAGCAGTATATGATTCGTCCATCTTCAGTTGTTCTGTTAAGCTTTCATTAACTTGCCTGTGATGTTATTCTTAGCTCTATGTGCCCTGGTAGCTTAACAGGTACTGTGCCTCGCTGGGAATCTTGAGGATGCAAGCTTGATTGCTGCTCAAGTGGGCTGAATTTCAATAGGGGCTACACATGTACTCTGGGTGGTCGAAAGTAAACACTGCAGTTTGTCTCATAATCACATTGGGGTGTGCCCTAGAATGTTTTCTCTTTTGATGGAAGCTGGGGTATGTTGCATATAGTGGGGGTATCACCCTATAAGGACTTATCTTGTGCAGTGCTTTCTAATTTTTACCTTGGCTGGATATGCGGGCCCAAATCCTTGAGACCACAATATGCTTACTGGAAGTCGAAGCATTCATGTCTGAAAAACACCTCGGGCAAGACAGGCCAGATGGAAGTGGGGTCAGCAATGATTTTATTTCAGTGTTCGTATTTGCTTCGTGGCCTTTGGTATATTACCATGCTTCGCGTTGGTGACACTCAGTTGTGCATCGCTGTCAATGAAGCCAAAGTGATGGCTGCATGAATGTCTAAAAATAGGACTGCAAACCATGTGCAGGAATAAATGCATGGGAACTGTATTTTTGCAACGTTGCGCAGAAAGGGGTGGGCGGAGAAAGGTCATCCATCAGTGGTAAAGACCCACTGATGACATGAGACTGGCTAAGATATTTATATGACTATATTAATTACATTCATATTTGGACCTGCTCAATCTGAGCTCCCATTTTATCGAATGGGGTTGCAGGAGTACATCCTTGATGCCAACAGAATAAAGGCAGCATAAAGAATTTTCAGTAACAGCATCTTTCTAGCACTGCACTCTCATAGAAAAATGATCCCCAAAGTCATGTGTTTGAAGCTGGTAATAGCAGCAAACTTTAGCTATGGTGTACTGGAATGTGGGGCAGTGGTGGTCGCTTTTGTCATGACGCCACCAGTAGGGCGCCATCATCGAACGGTGTGCTGAGTACGCGTAATTCAAGCTTTCATTGCCGACCTTTGTGCAGATTTTGAGTAAAGTAGTGATATAACACGACTGAAATTGAAAGGAAATTAAAAGTATCTGTAAGATTAAAACACGTCCAACACATATGGATGCATTAATGAGATTAATAATGCTGCTTCTACGTAGTCGAGCGCGCACAATTCCCATCACAGAATAGGGACCTACATCCTCTGCTAGCTTACTGTTTTAACTGCAGAAGGGATAAAAAAGCACATCGCCATTTGTTTGATCTATGTCCACCCCTGCCTAGCTATCACACTAATTTGAAGTCATGCGAGGAAACAAACAAGGAGGCTCTGACCATAGAGTTTCCTAAAATGAACTAGAGGGGACTCTGGCATTGCAGTCGTTCAGCGACCATGGAAATGACGGGTAGTACACAGATTTGCCTAGTCTTCGCACTTGCGGGCGGCGAATCCTACTTGCGGCTTCGTTTATTGCTGGTTTTGGTTTCATTTTGAAGGAAAGACCGAACTCTTTTGAACTTTATGACAAGATTCGAAATGATAAGCCAAAAGGAATAAGTTGGTGAAGCGCAACTGCTGAACATTCGCTGATTTTTGTTTCGTGAGAAAACAGCTCCAAGCCACATGAACATACACGGAGCCAAAAGCAGGCCGAAGTATGAAGATTAGACAAATATGTGTACTATCCATCATTCCCATGCTTGCTGAGGTGCCGTGCGATGCAGCTACCATAGACACTAGCACCAGAATTCCCTCTAGTATAGATTAGGAAACTCTGTGGCTCTGACAGATAACATTATGGGCGGGCAAGTTCTACGATCACCATTTACCTGCATGAGCCTGTTAAAAGAAAAATAATGCTCAAGGACATACTGCTTTACTTCTTTATAAATTTTACTAATAATTTTTATACATTTTACGCCCAGCATAACAACTACAACTAGCAATCTCGTAGGATTTGTATATCAGCTTCTCATAAACTACTTCATAAGGTGCCGAAAGGTGGCAACACAGTAGTACGGTGTGCTCGGGCAGCTCTGGACATCATGGCAAAAACAGCCACATCTGGGGTGCGAGACGGCACACTGCCCCATTCTAGTAGTATACCATACTTGAGTACTCCATTGCATAATGTAAAACTCACAGCACACAGAATAATTCATAGCCAGTGAAAGTATCATGCTCTTCACTGTATGGTACTCTCACCGAAACATCAGTTTTGTCATGGCCAGTATTTAAAGTATAAAGTAGCTGAATATATTAACAGCTCAACTTAAAAGTAGTTACAATGTTACTACAGAATCAAAGAAACAAGGACAGAAAAGAGGGCTGACTTTCAACAATGATTTGATAGCGGAGTCGTGTACATATGTAGGCGGAAAAAGAAGAGAATGGGCATGCGTAGAAGGGTGCACTTTACAATCACTGCGAAACATGTCAGCAAAACTCTTGTCTCTTGTTGATTGAACAAATACTAGCTTAAAAATGATCAAGATATTCACTCTCTTTCTGGAATAGCACGAATGATGGGGAACTTAAACATGTATTGTCAAACTTGCTTATGTGATAGGCTTCAACTATTTCATGCATGGTCTGTGAGTGGTGCTTGCCTATTACCTCGCAACGCTCAAAGAGGAGCACGCAGCTGCAGTCTCAGCAGTGGATTCCGAGGTGTCCTTGGATCGCATTGTGCACATTATTATTGTGTTCTTTTAAACGGTCATTCAAGCACCTTCCGGTTTGCTTTTTGTAGATTTTATCGCAGGATGGCGGAAGGAGATACAAGACACCAATAACACAAAATACAAAGCACGTTCTGTGTTTCACAGAGCATCTTAATCTGTTTGCAGCTAGATGATTCACTAACTTACATAGCTTTGACAGCTTTTCCGGGTTGGCAAATAAAACGGTGATACGAGCTCGTTTCCCGATTTTCTTCAGCGTATGGAAAACATTGTGCAGTTAAGGTACTGCAACACAGTTCTTAAGAACTGATGCATTTTGAGGCCGAGATCGCCTTCCTTGATTTTCAATTTCCTTCAAAAGCTTTTCCGCAACAGCAGAAATCAGGGGGTTCGAGTAACCAGCGTCCAAGAGGTGCTCGACCTGTGCTTTGGCACTGCATTGCATAGAGTGCGGGCATGACCTCCTAAAAGCGTCAAAAAGGCAACCATTGATGATACCCATTTTCACCAGTTTTGAATGAGCTGAGTGAAAAGGTAAGAGGGGTTTACCGCTTGTCGGTGAGAACAGCCAGCACAAATGATTGCTCCGGAAACAGAGTGTTAGGTCCAAAAACCTGATCGAATTACCAGACGGTAGCTCATGAGTGAGTTCCAGAGGATGCAAGTGCTTTCTAAACAACCCTAGAAGACTAGGGACAACAACTTCAAAAACTGTAAAAAATCAACAAATAAAAAATAAATCATTGACAAACATTAAGACTTTCACAACAAAAGACAAGGCGAGATATTTTTCAGTGAGGCGATCCTTATGCTCGAGAAAGATGTCGCTCAAGAATGGTAACAAACAAGAACATACGCAAATGCCAACTTTCTTTAATGAAATGTTGCTTATTCCAAGATGCAATCGTTGACTTTAAAAGAAACGAAATCAAGAGCTTTGCCGACATTGTTTCGCAGTGGTTGTGAACTGCACCCTTCCACGCATGCCCATTCTCTTCTTTTTTTGGCTACATATGTACACCACTCCGCTAATAAATCATTGTTGAAAGTCGGCCCTCTTTTCTGTCCTTGTTTCTTTGCTTCTGTAGTTGCACTGTAACTACTTTTAAGTTGTGCGGTTCGTATATTCTGTTATGTCCTACCAACTTGCCCAAGTTTCCATGCTTCATAAAGTAGCGGCTCCACTATCTAGTAGAGCCGTCATAGTGTGAACTTCCAGACCTGATAAAAATTCAACGTGTACAAGGTGGAGAATATCGGACCCCCTACCTCTGTTGGCCTAGCTTCCTAGCATGGCGACCTGGTGTGGATGCTCGTATGCAGCTGTGGATTTGAAGCTTTGTGAAGGGGCATTGCTGTGGGAGTTTAGCCAGAGGCTCTGTCAAAAGTAGACACCCCATTTTGAATGAGCAGTAGAAGTTTCATAATTGATTTGGTGTAGTGCTCAAGTGGTTCGGGCAGAATCAGTCTGTGTCCACAGACATACTATGCTGGGCTAGTTGGTGCACCTGACCACGTCATTGATGTGCCCACACATACTGTAGTGGCATCCTCTTGCACACTCTTGAACACTCCGCTATGACTTGAGGGCCTATGTGCTGAGGTATACGTTGGAGAATCCCAGGCGGTTGAAATTTCCAGAGTGTTCCACTACGTGTCTCTCATAATTGTGTCATGAATGGACACCAACAATTATTATTACCTTTCGTTGCACTCCGATGTCCTCATGAAATTCATCCCTATATTTGATTGGTTGGAGACATTTGGCAGAACAGGGAATAGTTTCTTGCCTCCAGTGCACTTGAATCGTCCTTTCACTTGGTATTAAAGGGAGGTGCGATAATCTGTACCTTAAGGAAATACAATTTTTGCTGTATATATAGTGTTTTATGCTGATTTAATATGTGTAATTAGTTTTATAGTAAGGTGCACAATTTTCAGTTTTTGCCATGGCAATGTGCAAAGTATAGTTAGTTTTGGGCAAACTTTTTACGCCACAAAACTTTAATGGTGCTGACCCATTAATGGCTCATATTGCTCCAAAATAATCGTAGAATGCAAATAACTATCCCAAAAAGGCATGCAAAACTTTTTGATAGTCAAGAGAAATTGTAATGCGAGAATTCTTACAATCCTCAGCCAATACTAATTGTTTACCTTAGATTCATAGTATTTGTACTTAACTGATACGATCAGTTACCTCCTGTACTTCAATCAATCCAAAGTCTCACCAGAATGATGGATTATTTACATTCACACATACCGCATGACATCTTTGGAACAAACTACCATTGGATCTAACAAACGCGAGTTGTTTACTTGTAAAAAAATTAACCTACATTGGTTCATGCTCCCTTCACATTGAATTCTACCCCCTTTCTATCCCCGCTGTATAATTTCGTGTGTGCTCTAGTGTTTGTATAAGTGGACACGACATGAGGGCCCCCTTCATAACTCCTTTGTGAGTTATGGGGCCCTGCTTTTATAACAAAAGTGATGCATATATTCTCTTGCGAATAAGAAATGAACTGAAATTGAATTGAATTGATTATACAGGTGATATCAAGTTTCAGAGTAGATACTTGCACTTTTGACATGCTAAGGAAGATGTGGGCAAAATTTCATCCCAATCAAGCTATTAGAAGTACCAAAAGCATGATGTCCAAACTCTAGAAGTTGCCCGAAAATGGACCTTGAGAAAAAGTATTTTAAAGGTATAAGTTGAAGCTCATCTCATCTCATCGGAAAAGATATCTTTTTTTTTAGGTGATTTTTTTCATGATAACAGCTTGGCAATCATGGTTATTTTGAGCGTGTGACTTTAGTGAACCCATCATGCGAAATGCAATGGCAAGCAGCGCGGTGACAATTTATAGGGGATTCTCGACTGCGAGCTTTATTTACTTTTTAATTTCCGATGGAGGCCAAAACGATGTAGGCCCGTGTGCTCAGATTTGCGTGCACATTTAAGAACCCCAGGTGTTCGAAACTTCTGGAGCCCATTTTTGGGACATCAAACCCCACATATCAATCAATTTTTGCTTTTTAGTAGCCACTTTGTGCTCTCGAAAAGCAATTTTAACCTGCTTCGAGTTTAATCGCAATCTTCAGTTTTGTGTGGTGAAAGTAGAGACAGTAAACTTTTGAAAGCAAATAAAAAGCAAAAAATATGTAATGTGAAAAGCAGTTTTTTCGTTTTTGGACTCGCATCTCCCCTTAAAACGTGCTGCATCCTACTGCGTGCCAGCATGTGCCCTTTGGCACAAGAATAGCTTTATGTCGACCAAGTTCTTCACATATGTCATGCATGCAATGTTTGTGACGGCGATAATATTGGCGAGTCTGTATCAAACACGAGACAGTTATCACATGATGAGCCTGAGATGCAATGGGCCTAGCTATGAGAGGTATGAAGATGACAGTTTCTAAACACTTTTGCTTTAAGGTATCTCTGGTTATGAAGGGCCACTTTGTTCTCAGAAATGCCTTCACCTTAGCTTGTCTCCTTCTCAGTGTGATGGTATAGAGATGTGCGAAACTTCAAGATCCCGTTATTGTCTTTCGCAAAATTGTTACTTGGTGTTTCGGAACACTGCATGAAATAGTCAACTTGGTGTGCTTCCCTTTCACATATGGATCTACAAGACACTTGTAAATTTGATTTTTTTAAAAAGCCTTTGAGAAATGATGGTCAGCCCCCACGTGTAAGAGTGCCAAGGGTTGCAGCAGTCCACAAGCTTCTTACACTTTTCTAGAGAAGCTCTGTGGAAGTTTTTATTGTTGCTCGGTGGCACCAGATGAGAGCTACATGCAGTCGGAATTCATTGAAAGGGATGTATATTCAGTTTGTATAGATGGGGTGTGATATCCTTAATTTTATTGTGCTACTTCCACTGGTATTTTATTTATTTGTTTTATTTATACTTATACCTACAGTGCCCTCTGGAGGCATTGTTGTAGGGGGTTTACAAAGTCAAAGTACATTTAAATCAGTGGGGACAAGTTGAATTAAACGGCACTCAAAAATACCTAAATCAAAGCATACAATATCATTGTGGGACCACATACTCCTTTAAAAGGGAAGGAAGTGCTGTGGAAGGGGCAGTCACAATGTTTTTTGGAAGACTGTTCCATTCGTGAATAGTTTTAGGAAAAAAAGTATTTGCATACGTTTATGTTCGCACATATATTCACACACTTTCAAAGGATGGTCCCGTCATGATGAGATGTATGTTGGTGGTCTGATGTATTTGTTTTTATCGATCCCAGTTTTGTCGTTTATTAGGTTGTACAAAAGACATAGCCTGATATATTTACGCCTTGAGGAGAGTAACGGCCAACCAAGTGAACTAACAATTTCGCTAGACCTTTTGGTGAAGTCGTAATCACCCGTCACAAACCGGGCGGCACGTTTCTGAATGCGCTCCAATGCATCAGTATTTAACTTTGTGGCCGGGTCCCAGGCAGTGCAAGCATATTCTAAAATCAGGCGTACATTTGACACGTAAAAAACTTGTTTAAGAACAGGGGGCAGTTCTGAAATTGCGGTGTAGGAGGTTCAGCACGCGACTGGCTTTAATTGATTAATCCAGCAGAAAGGCAAAAGGGGGAAGATGGAAGCGTGCAATGAGAAATTTGTACAACAAGGGGTGGGTGCAGGAACAGACGTTTCGAGAATTATCTTTGTCAAGGTTCTCAAAATGTCATCTCCTGCACCCATCCCTCTGTTTTACGAATTTCTTATCAGATGTCTACGTTTCTAGAAGATCATAAACTGGCAATATGATGCAATTATGTTAGTTTTTTATGGCTTGGTATATTGTTTCGGAATGATGCTCAGGTAACAGCTTCCTTTTTTATAATTTGTCTAAAAAGTGAGCAGCTTGACAGGTGCTAGCTGCTCATGACATGCAGCTCTTATCTAGGAATGCCGTCCCTTTTGTTCTGCTTTCTTTTCAGTATGCTGAGTGGACGCATATCAAGCCACCGTGATGAAACAGGAGCTGTGAGTAACTGTATTCATCATAATTAACAAATGTGATGCAGCTTGTCTAATACCAGTGTCACATGGGCACTTTTAATCGTGATCAGTGTCCATTCGAATTAACCACGATTTGAATTAGGTGCTGCTATACAGTCACTTTTAATCACAATCAGGCGTGATCAAGATCCCAACTATTGCGATCCGCGTATGGCGATCTGTCTGAAAGGATTGCGCTTTCGCGGTCGTCTGCATCCCCTGGCCAAGCTTGTTGAAAGCACAATAAACAAGAAAATTCAGCATAATTTTATAGAAACACTTTAAACAGCTAGATGTTTATAAAAAAGAGAATATGAACTGTTCAAATTGGAAGAATATCTCAAATATTGCATATGTTCAGATTTCTATCGACTGTCATGTAGTTTATGGGAGAAGCAGACGACAAGCAGCGGACCGTTGCCTTTCGGGCTTAGTTCAACTCTCGCGCCGTCGGAGCTGTTGGAGAACCTAAAGCAAACCGATTACGAGTGTTGCGAAACTTGACTATGCCACAACATATACGTGCTACGTGGTCAAACAAAGAGACCTTTACAGTAATTGACCGTTGGCAGGAGTGACTAGAAGACTTGAGGCGCCACATGTGAAACTCTGGCGCGTACAACGAGATTGACGCTTTGCTGCGACTGGATGGCTACGAGCCATGAAAAATGAAAGTGCAAACATTAAGAATGTCTCGCAGCAATATAGGTAAGTGCATGCAAGGAAAACTCTATCGAATGATGGGATTTATGATGATGATCAAATAAACATTTATTTTTCGAAACAGTGTTTCCGAGTTTGTGAGCTCAGGGTCATCCTAGGTGGGAGGGTTTCTTATTCCAAGAATCCTCTGGCCACAATCGCCTCTTGGGCCCTGGCGACAAGTCCTCGTTGGTCGTCTAAGTTGCGTGCGGCAATCTTGGCCTCCCACGTCTCGGCTAGGGGGTCGATACCTGCAGTTGCGGGCTTGGTGTTGGCATCTTCGTGGCGCCACAGGCACTCGAGTAGTAGGCGGGCCAGTGTGTCTGGCACATCGCATATCAAACAGTTGTAAGGGTATAGCGTTGGGTAGACTCTATGCAGTAAGGTGCCGTGTGTGTAGGTGTTAGCTTGAAGTCTCCGAAATTCTGTGGCTTCTTCTTCAGTCAGCTTGGGGTGAGGTGGTGGGTACATACTGTGAGCTAAACGATAGTGTTGTGGGATGGCCTGCACAACTCTCAGAGTATCATTTTCATTCAGGCCACTGCATCGGTTTGCGACTCTCCTTATGAGGTGCGTGAGCTGGTAGACTGTGCGTTGATGTCTAGGAAGTGCGGCAGCCCATGATTCGTCGCTGTACAGGTGCAAGCCGACCACGCGAAGCGAAGTGACCTTCGGTATTTGGACCCCGTGAAGGATTATGCATGGGGCTGGTGCTTCTCAGGTTAGAGGTCTTCCTCGCGTGCGGGCCTTGAGTACCAGTAATTACGATTTTTCAGGTGCACAATGGAGGCCTCAGCTCTCGGGGTAGTTCTCTATGACATTGACCGCCTCCTGAAGGCAGCTTTCTTGCTCTCCAGTGCTCTTGCCTCGCGTCCAAAGCGTAGTATCGTCCACGTAGATGGCGTGACGTAGGCACTGTATTGTTTCGAGAAGCCGGGGAAGCTTAAGGAGTGCCACGTTGAAAAGGACAGGTGACACAACAGAGCCTTGAGGTGTACCCCTGTTCGGCAGCTCAAAATTTTCGCTCCGTATGTTGAACGGCCAGTGAGGAAGCTTCGAACATAGCCATAAATCTTGGAACCGCAGCCAGTATCTTCGAGATTTCGTAGTATTGCTTTATTGTCGAAGGCGCTTTTGACATCAATGACAAGAAGGGACGACTTGCTATTCTTGCTCAAGTGATCAACTAGATCTTCCTTGCGGAGTAAGAAGATGTCCTGCGTAGAAAGCAGCCGGCGGAAGCCGAACATGGTGGCTGGGAAGTATCTGTTGTCTTCAAGGTGCAACGTGAGCCGGTCATGGATCGTATGCTCAAACAGCTTGCCAACACACGAAGTCAGAGAAATGGGTCTGAGGTTGTCAACAGCTATGGACTTGTTGGGCTTGTGTATCATGATAACCTCCGAATCCTTCCTTGCGGCTAGAAGCTCTCCTTTGTCCCAGCAGACATTGTAGCTCTCCAGGAGAGCAGTTATAGCCTGATTGGGTAGCTGTCGGAGGTGCTTGTTGACTAACCTGTCTTTGCCTGGACTCGTGTTTCTTGTAAGCTTGAAAAGAGCTGCTTAAAGCTCTGCTGGTGTGAAGAGCCTGTCAAGGTCGGCGTTGGGCATGCCTTCGTATTCTTTGTGTGGTGGTGACATTGCCGCGGATTGGACAGGACCATGCAGCTTATTGCATAGTTCGTGGAGTAAGTCTTTCTCTGAGCCATTGTAATTGTGTGTTAGCTGACGTACTCGTTCCCGCTGCTGCGTCTTGGTGAGGCGGTCACCGAGGAGAGTCCGCAGCAGGCGCCACGTCCTCTTGGTGCTGAGCGTGTACCGTGCAGCTTATCGTAGAAGTCGCGCCAGTTGTGTCTTGCTAGGTGTTCGGCACACTGTTGCGCCTCTTATGTCAATAAGGAAATTCTTTTACCGAGTATCTTGTTCAATTTTTGCCTCTTCCATCTCTTCAGTAAGGCTCGTCTGGCCTCCCAGAGGAGGAGTAAGTGTAAATCTACTGCCGCATTGCCTTGGTTAAGCTGCATTACTTTGGTGCACAGTTTGGCAGTATCCAGAATCTTGGTGAGCCGGGCATCTATGTCCGCTATTGCGTTGTCATTATCGAGCTCGTTTCTGAAGGCGTTCCAATCAGTCAGTCTTGCTGTGCCTGTTTTTGTAGGTCGTTGGTCATATTCGATTTTGAGTTCATTTTTGTGGTGATCACTACCAGGTGTCTCGGGGAGACAGGCCCATCCCACCTTCTTGACGTCTCGTGTAAAGGTGAGGTCAGGGGTGGTATCTCTCGAGATGCTGTTTCCCACTCTCGTGGGCTGGAGCGGATCATTCAACAATGTGAGGCCGTGCTACTGAGTGGAGTCGTGGACTCTCGCGCCTTTCTTGATGGTGATGGCACAACGCCAAGCTGTGTGGGGCGCATTGAAGTCCCCTACGACCACTAACCGGTGACCTTTTGTGCGTTTTTTGATTTCGCAGATGAAGTAATCGTAGTCCCTGAGCTGATCTCGAGGTGGGCTGTATGGGTTAGTGACGTAGAGGCTTTGTTGCGATTTTCGTTCCGGTATGACTTCCACTAGAGTGTTCAACTGTAGTGTCTTCTATCTTGTGTAGTTGGGCCGCAACAGTTTTCTTGAGTAAAATGGCGGTTATTGGGGTCAGAGCCACTGTGTTGTACCCTGCGAGCTGCACTTTTTCAGTATTGTTCTCTTGTAGAGTGATGAGGTCGGGTTGATTTACTTTTATAAATTCTTGTAGACTCGCCAGCCAGGGTCTGTAGGATCGACAGTTCCACTGCCAAATGCGAAAAGTTGGTTGTGGAGTAGAAATCCTATTCTTAGAGCCTGCCATCTTCATGAATATCTTGTACGTTTACCTGCTCGTCTTCTGGAGAGAAGGAGTGAGAAACTTTTCTCTCTTTGGGCGTGGTTTTTTCTGCCTTGGCAGTCTTCAAGTTCCGCATGGCTAATGCAGTTGTTCTTGACATGAGCCACTAAGTTGGTTAGCTGCGACTTGAGATCGTTGATTTGGGCTGTATGAGTGTCCATCCTATGGCTGAGCATTGTGAACGTGTCACTGATTTGGCTGGAGATGGGCTCCAACTTCGCCATGACGAATGCTTCGAGCATCGATTCGACTGTTGCTGTGCGATTTATGAAATTACTCTTGTAGTGGCGCGCGCATTTTTTCACTTTCGAGCGGTTATTGCATGAATAGCACTGTTAATAAAGGGCTTCATAGAAAGCTCATAGGCCGAGTTTAGTCAGTGACATGTTTTACGGCACGCAAGTGCCACCTAGTGCATTTCATCTAACCCAAGCTTGAATGGGTTAGCTTGGGCCGTGTAGCAGCAGTCATAAAGTTGATCGCAATCAAGAAAACAGGAGAACCTGACGTCAACTAAAAGTGCCCGTGTGGCACCGGTGTAACTGCGGCTCAAACCGTCATGAATAAAAATAGGCACTTTTGAGTTTTATAAATAGACTGTAGTGAAGAAGAGGGGCCTCAGCGGCATTTCTCGGCGCCTCAGGGGCATCGCCATCAGCATAAGCTCATGCTTGCTGTGCTTGGCCGGACGCTGCTGACTGCTTCGCCTTCTGCGTTCTGCTCTGCAAATAAACCCTGTTACAAGTGGTGGAGGCTGCTGGGTTTCGATCACACTGGAGCTTCGAAATCTCATTTTACCATCCATTATGCCTACCGACGCAAGTGCTGCTCCAACTCCTCCACAGGCACCGCCTACTGTTCTCTGCGCCGGTTCTCTGCGTCTGCGAGATCCCCCTGTTTTCTCAGGCACAGAAGACAAGGACGTTGACGACTGGATTTCATTGTACGAACGAGTGAGTACTCACAACAAATGGGATAACACTGCCAAGTTGGCCTACGTGTCCTTCTACCTGTCGGACGTGGCCAAGTTGTGGTTTATAAACCACGAAGCGGAACTCCCTACATGGTCAGTCTTCAAAACGAGCCTCACACTAGTTTTCGGACGGCCAGAGGTATGCAAACGCCGTGCCGAACAACGCTTGCATACTTGGTCCCAGCAGCTTGGTGAGAATTTCACGAGCTATATTGAGGACGTTCTGGACCTTTGCAAGCAAGTCAACGAGTCGACGTCCGAAGAGCTTAAGATCAAGCACATCATGAAGGGCATTGAGGACGACGCTTTCCAAAAGTTGCTTTCTAAGAGTCCTCGTACTGTCCTAGAACTGACCGAGTTATGCCAGAGTTTTGACGAGTTACGCAGGCAACGTCTTTCCACCCGACGTCCCTCGGCGCTCGACGACTCTT